CTCCCCGCCCACCTCGGCAGCCACCTTCCCCGCGAGGGAGGGGCCCGCCCTGCGCGGAAAAGCTCTCCGGGAGGCGTGGGCCCAGGGGCGGGGCCGGCGGCGCAGGGCGGGGCCCGGTGTTGGAGGCCCCGCCCTGTCCCCGCCCCCTCGGCCACAGGCCCGGCCCCCGGTGCGCCGGCCCCGCCTCCAGGCTTATCCCAAGATGGCGGGTGAGTGGGGCAGGGCTCCAGGGGTCCCTGGGCAGCTGCCCCTCCCCCTCCCGCGACCACCCCGGGAGGCCCCGGGAGCCCCCTGCCTGCCCGACCTGCCTGCCGCAGCCCCCTTGTAACCATTTGTGTGTGTCTTGGTTTTCAGAGATCCCCTTGTACTTTGTGGACTTGCAGGATGACTTAGACGATTGTAAGTAACAGTTGGGGCGCCCCCGCCCCTCCCTGGGTCCCTCTCACAAAATTCGGGGTGCACCGACCGTGAGGGATGGCTACGAACTAGGCCCTCCATGTTGGGTCCAGAACAGCGGGACTCCTAACTGCTTTCCTCCCCATGTGGTGGTCCCTCATCCCTGGGGGGGCCGGGCTGAGGATGGGGAGCCCTCTCCCCTGGGGGGCAGGACTTTTGGTTGTTGTTGGGAGACTTTTGACTTCCTGTCACTTTTTTTCTCTTCCTCCTCCCCCTCCAGCTGCCCCGGGAGGGGCTGCATGGGGCCAGTCCCAGTCCCGTTGATTGGGGAGGGAGCAGGGCGCAGCGACCTGGGTGTGCTGACTTCCGCCCCAGGCCCTCGCCTTTTCCCAGGGGTTTCTCAGAGGGCCCGGGAGTTTGAGAGGTCCGGCTCCGAGTGGCCGGCCACAGAGTTGCAGACTTCTCGAGTGTCCTGGCCACGAGCCCGGCTCCATCTCTGATCCCAAGGAGCTCATTGATGCCTGCATTTCCTTGGTGGGTTTCTTTTCCCGTGGCCCCACCTGCCCTCTCATTTTTTCAGAGTCAGTTTAAGGGCTGATGTCATCCTGGAAATGCAAGTTCCCATTTGTGTTGAATGAAGCATTTCCTTTCTACTCAATAAACATTTCTTGAGCACCTACTTGTGGGTCAGGCCACATTCGGGGTGCTGGACACACAGAGACAAACCAGGAAGACTGCCTACCCTCAAGGAGCTCCCAGGCTGGAGGGCTCCCCTGGGGTGGGCGATGGGGGGGCAGACTTGTAAACAGAAAATTAGCGAACCCTGGGGCTTCCTATGTACCAGCTGTTTGCGTCCTTTCTACTTCCTGCTCCCCATCTGCAAGTTTCCTGCTAGTAAGAGTTGGTGTTTATTGAAAGCTCACCATAGGCCAGGCAGTGTTAAACCCTTTACACACACTGTCTCTTTTAAAGGGGCCACTTTACTAAACCCTCGTATGACACTTGATGAGGCAATCCAAGCTGGTAATTAAGAGCATGGGATCTGGGGTCAGATGGCCGAGGATGAAGTCTAGTGCTGCTGTTTAATGTCTGTGTTCCTGCACAACTCAGTACACTATGAGCCTCATCTGTAAAACGGACATAATACTGGCTCACCTCAGAAGACTTTTGTGAGGGTTCAATGAATAAAGGGTTTAGCGTGAAGCCTTGTACAAAATAAACACTTGGTAAATATTGGCTGCCATTATTGTTATTAATATGATCGTTATGGAACCCTGGTGGTGCAGTGATGAAGAGCTTGACCGCTAACCAAAGGGTCAGCAGTTTGGCTCCACCAGCCGCTCCTTGGAAACCCTATGGGACAGTTCTACTCTGCACTGTAGGCTCGCTATGAGTCGGAATCGACTCAACGGCAACAGGTTTGGATGATTGTTATTTACATTTACTGAACACTGAAGGAGCCTGGTGACCCAGTGGTTTAGGGATCAGCAGCTAACCAAAAGTTCGGTGGTTCTAACCCACCAGCCATTCCATAGGAGAAAGACGTGGCAGTCAGCTTCCGTAAAGATTACAGCCTCGGAAACCCTTTGGGGCGGTCCTACTCTGTCCTGTAGGGTCTCTGAGCTGGAATCGACTTGACGACAATTGGCTTGGTTTTGTTGAGCCAGGTACAACGTAGGCCCCCTGTTTACAAAGCTGAATGTTTCAACTAGTGACCATCCTTGAAAAAGAAGGAATGCAGCCTTCCCATTGATAAACAATGGTGAGCTGCCTTCAGCGTGGTGTCATATTTGATAGTTAGCCTGGCAGGAAAAGCCGATTTCTGGCCGTTTTGGTTATCCAACGAATCACCCCAAAACTAAGTGACTTAAAACCACAGCATTTTTTTATTTCTTAAAATTCTGTGGATTGACTAGACGGTGATTTTGCCTCATGGGGTCTCAGCTGGGACGCCCGGGAAGGCTGGAAGGTCCAAACGGCTTCACTCACTGTCCTGGGTTGTTGTCCTTGCTCTCCTCCAGGGGCCTTTTCCACTTGGCTAGGTGAGGCTTCCCACAGCATGGCAACCACAGGCAGCTGGACGGCTTTCCTGGTCCAATTGTATGTATGGACAAAAAGGGAGTAAAAGATTATATAGGAAAATAGGAACAAATATTCTGTGTTTGAGACCTGTAATAAAGAAGGCTTTAAATACTCTTTAATAGATGGCTGAAGACTTGCCCCCAAAAGGAAGGAAACCACCATTATGGTTCTAAACATACCCATGCCTTGGGTAGGGCAACTTTGGAAGCCTCCTGGGACTTCCCGTTACAGGTGGTGATGGGGGCTGCGGGGGAGGGAGGGGGAGGGAGGAAAGCCTGCACCTTATAACTTTACAATAGAGTTGATCTGATAGCTGTAATAGGAGTTCCTCCCCCC